TGGAAACTAATCAAGGAGAGAAGCAATCTAGAACTAAGGAGAAACTTCCTGACAGTGAGAACAATTAACCAGTGGAACAACCTGCCTCCAGAAGCAGTGAATGCTCCAACACTGGAAGTTTTTAAGAAGAGACTGGACAGCCATTTGTCCGAAATGGTATAGGGTTTCCTGCCTGAGCAGGGGGTTGGACTAGATGACCCTCAAGGTCCCTTCCAACTTTATTATTATTATTATTATTATTATTATTATTTGTTTAAAATTGTTGCAGCATCCCTGGGTCACGTGGTCACCATTTGCAACCTTCCCAGCCAGCTTGCGACAAACAAAATCAGTGGCAGAAGTCGGATTCGTTTAATGACCACATGGTTCATTTAACAACTGCAGTGATTCGTGGCATGGCAAAAACAGGTAGAAAGATAAGGTACAACTTATGTAACATCCATCTCACTTAGAAGAGAAATTCTGGCCCCAATTGTGCTTGTAAGTCAAAGATTACCTGTACTGGCCTCAGTTTCCCTTCCAAAATGTTCTATTCCCCTCTATGTAGAAATAACGGGAAAAGTTTTTTTTTTTTTAAACTTACCTCTCTTAAATGTCTATTTGCCTAGTGAAGTCTACATTCAGATGGTGTGTGGACGGTGCCCTTCTTAAAAAACACCACTTAATCTGCCCTGACGATTACATCACAGATCCGGTACTAGTAACCCACGCTCCTAAAGGTAACTAGACAGACGAAGGTGACTTTTTCCAGGACACCATGTATACTCATACCTGAAAGAATACGAGATTGTTATTTTTTTATAAAAAAAAAAATGTATAAACGATGACAGTTCTGTTTCTACATGTCTTTCTGAACTTAACTTTCCTCTCCTTTAAATGCAGATTTCTCAGAACCGGGCTATTTGAAAGAAACGGATTGTAAACACTACGTTCCTCCTGACTCAGAAGCTCTCGAGTTCAAGGAAAGCTCACGCATCAAAAAGCTGTGGGCAAGTCTTCCAGATGTGTCTCTGTCCAGTTTAACGCTGGAGTCTTCGGATATTAATTTTCCAGACGGAACCATGACATCATTTCACAGGGTACAATCTAGTTTTATTTTGTTATTGCTTTGACGTTGTTTTTTTTTTTTTATCAGTCCCCACAGATCATGATGTGATCAGGTTAACCTTTCTCAGATTTGAGATGAAATTTTTTTTTTTTTTTTAAATACATCCTTTTCTGTTCCTTGTGCTTTAATGTGTGGGCCACTTGTAGGGGATTGTGGGCAAAACTGAAGAAAATGTCTGGGATGTTTTACTTGTTCTCCGTCAGCAGCTTTGTATCTATAGGTCAGTGATGGCAAACCTTTTAGAGACCGAGTGCCCAAACTGCAACCCAAAACCCACTTATGCATTGTTGGGTGCCAGGTGGGTGTGGCCCATTGGCTGGGTGTGGCCCATTGGCTGGGTGTGGCCCATTGGGTGGGCATGGCTGTGGTGGTAATGGCAGACTGGATGGGACTAAAAAGTTCAATCAATCAATTCCAACTTTGCAAGATCTTTTTTTTTCCCACGAGAAGTTGAAATTGACTGATTGATTGAACCTTTTTTTTTGGCACATGGCGGTGGAGTCCTGAAGCGAAAAGGTTTTATAAAACCCAGCTGAAGGCCTAGGGCTGGGGCGATGGTGCGCGTGCCCACAGAGAGGGCTCTGAGTGCCGCCTCTGGCACCCGTGCCATAGGTTCACCACCACTGCTATAGGTAATCTCGACTTAGAAACATTCTTTTAGTGACTGTTTGAAGTTACAATGGCACTGAAAAAGTGACTAATGATTGTTTTGCATACCTACAACCATTGCAGCATTCCCCATGGTCACGTGATCTAAATTCAGACGCTTGGCAACTGACTCATATTTATGACGGTTGCAGCTCCCAGGGGTCATGTGATTCCCCTTTTGCGACCTTCTGGCAAGCAAAGTCAATGGGGGAAGCCAGATTCACTTAACATCCACAAAACTGCAGTAATTCACTTAGCAACTGTGGCAAGAAAGGTCATAGAATGGGGTAATAGTCATGCTTAGCAACAGGGATTTGGGGCTCAAATGTGGTTGTAAATCGAGGACTCTATTATTTATTATTCTATAAATACTATATCATATTTATATTATGAAAAGGATGTAAATAGCACTTCTGAAATCTAAAACACGGTGTTATAAATTCAACTTCCATGCCTTACATAGTTAGAATAAAGTTGGATGGAAGGTGAGATGGCAGCTTAGCCAGCCTAATTTCCTATTTGTATCAAAGCATTATATTTATAAATCTGCCTATCCTGTGGGTTGGGTGCTTAAAATAGAACCACTGTTTATAGAAGAGGCTGACCCTTTCAGGAATGCATAGCTTTCCTAGGCTCAAAGAAACAAGCCTGTTTGGGTGTGAGTAGTCCAATATTTCTAATATAAAAACTACACCTCATCTCTAATCAATATGTATTAATTTATGTTAATTCCATTGATAGTCTCCACAACATGTTCCACTGGATTCTGGATGCTCACCCTCAAGCAAATATATGCAGGATCATAACTTTCAGCAGACAGTGACTGCCTGTTTCCTGTTTTTTTTTTTTTTTAAAAAAATCCTAACTGCTAGATGTAGAATTCGCAGGGACATTCCCCCCCCCCCCAAAAAAAACAGAGGCCATATTGTCCTCTGAATTGACAAATGCTGCTTATGTGTCTTGGGAATAACTAAAAGGAAATATAAGTGCCTGCTTCAAATGCAGAAATGATGTCAAAGTTTTTGGTGCTCTCTGAGCTTAGCTTGTTTACTTACAGATGTTTCATTACCCGACTAGGTGACAGCACCGATGATGCTACCTACTGTAGTTGGGTCATGAAACATCTGCAAGCAAACAGCCAAGTTTAGAGAGCATTTCATTTCAACCCTGAGCTACAGATATTCTCTTCTGTTAGAAAAGATGTTTCATGGAAGAAGGTTTGTTTGTTTGTTTATTAATTTTATATGCCGCCCATCTTCCTGACAGAGTGATTCTGGGAGTCTTACCGTTCATAAAAAGATAAATAGAAAAGTAATTAAAAATTTAAATCTAGGGATATTAAAAATTTTAAATTATATGTAGTCCTCAACTAAAAATGGTTGATTAAGTGACCATTCAAAGTTACAACGGCACTGAATTATGACCATATCTTACACTCACGATGGTTGTCGCATCCCCATGGTCATGTGATCAAAATTCAATTGCCTGGCAGATGACCCATATTTATGACTGCAATATTTATGACTGCAATATTTTTGACTGCAATATCATGGACTCATGTGATTCTCCTTTGGCGACCTTCTGACAAGCAGAGTCAATGAGAGAAGCCAAATTCACTTAACAGTTGTGTTACTAACTTAGCAACTGTGGGGATTCACTGAAGAGCTGAGGCAAAAAAAGTTGTAAAATGGGGCAAAGCTCACTTAACAGATGTCTCATTTAGCAACAGAAATTTTGGGCCCAGTTGTGGTCATAAGTCAAGGACTCTGTGCCCCAAGCTAGAACCAAGGAGAAGGACGGCAAGAGGATGAGATTTTATTTTTTTACCCTGTCAGGCGGGGAAAGCCCCCCTCAGGGACCCAGGCCAACCAGCAAAACCAAGTTTTGGTCTCTTCTGGAAAGCCAAAAGTAATGATGATGATGATGATGATGATGATGATGATGATGATGATAAAGTTGGAAGGGACCTTGGAGGTCATCTAGTCCAACCTCCTGCTCAGGCAGGAAACCCTATACCATTTCGGACAAATGACTGTCCAGTCTCTTCTTAAAAACTTCCAGTGTTGGAGCATTCACAGGGGTAGGCCACCTTGGCTCTTTTATGACTCGTGGACTTCAACTCCCAGAATTCCTGAGCCAGCATGGCTCAGCATGGCAACCTCTCCCTTTCCCCTCAGCATGGCTGGCTCAGGAATTCTGGGAGTTGAAGTCCACGAGTCATAAAAGAGCCAAGGTGGCCTACCCCTGGACTAGTAGATGTCTGTGGAGATTCTCAGTCATCCAGGTCGTAGTTCTCTCAAAGATGCTTTTTTTTTTTGTTCTTTAAAAGGTAACTGGACTGTTTTTTCCTTGAGGAAGAAGAAGAAGACGTTTTGCTTCTCATCCTAGAAGCTTCATTGGTTCTGATGGCGGGGGGATGGAAGGATAAGTTCTGATAGGATGGGGGTCGGTGGGTGGGTGGGAATGGAAGGATTGTACTTCCTTGCAGTCATCTGAACAGTATCGTAGATACTTTCTATCTACAAAAGTATACAAAAGTATTGTAGATGATGGAAGAATTGTATTTCTTTGCAGAAATACATCCCCACCCCCGGTTCTATCAAAACCCATCCTTCCATTCCCCCATCAGCCAGTCTCAACTGTCAGTGCCTGTCCTTCCATCCCCCCCTGCTATCAGAACTGACGAAGCCTCTTCGATGGGAAGTGAAACATTTTCTTCTTCCTCCTCAAGAAAAAAACAGTTCAGTTGGCTTTCAATGAAAAAAGCATCTTTGAGATAGTCTAGTAAATAAGAGTGTTCTACAGCAGGGCTTTTCAACCAGTGGTACGGGTACCACCTGTGGTACATTGGCACCTGGCAGGTGGTACGCAACCATCCTAGAAAAGTGGTAGCGGGGAAGGGGAATGAGCTGAACCGGTGGCAGCACCGCACAAGCCTGAGCGAGAGACGGCTGGAGCTGCAGGGCTGTCAGGGCTCAGTGAAAGTGCCAGTATCAGCACCAGGATCCAACTGGAGCTCAGTGCTCATCCTGGTGCTTCTGCTGAGCCCAGAAGAAGCGCCGATCAGCTGGAATGTTGCAGCCTCTCCAGGGTCTTGTGATTTACATTCAGATGCTTGGCAACTGATTCATATTTATGACGGTCACAGTGTCCCAGGGTCCTGTGAAGTGACCAAAACCTGCCGCAACCACCCAGCAGACGGGGGGAATAAAAACCAAACACCCCCCCACCCCACCCCCGCTGCCAATCCTCATCAGAAATGCTCACAATGGAAACCTCGGACAGGAGGAAGAGCGCTGCCGGGTGGGCAGGCAGGTGTCTTGCTCGGCTGTGGCTTGGAGGGCACTTTTTTCAGTGCCACTGTAACTTCGAACAGTCACTAAGCGAATTGTTGTAAGTCGAGGACTACCTGTACTTTATCCCTTTTTTTTTTGGTCAAGTTTTTGGTGGTACTCAGATGTTGCCATATCCTAAAAGTGGTACAATGGGTGAAAAGGTTGAAAAGCCCTGTTCTACAGGATCAGGGCTACAGCAAAAGAAAAAAAAATATAAGACTCTTGAAACCTGTTTTCTACTGCTCCAAATTGTAGGACATGAAAAAGGGGGTTTCAGGTACAGAAAAGCAGATTCTGGTCAAATGTTCCCCCAAAATACGTCTCACAATAAAGAGAAATTGGATATTGGATAATGAAACTTACGTTTCAGAAAGATCAAGGAGAGAAGCAATCTAGAACTAAGGAGAAACTTCCTGACAGTGAGAACAATTAACCAGTGGAACAACCTGCCTCCAGAAGCAGTGAATGCTCCAACACTGGAAGTTTTTAAGAAGAGACTGGACAGCCATTTGTCCGAAATGGCATAGGGTTTCCTGCCTGAGCAGGGGGTTGGACTAGATGACCTCCAAGGTCCCTTCCAACTTTACTACTACTACTACTACTACTACTACTACTACTACTATTATTATTATTATTATTATTATTATTATTATTATTATTATTATTATTATTATTATTATTATTATTATTATTATTATTATTATTATTATTATTATTATGCTGGGCTCCTCTTTGCTGGACCAAACAGGGGCTGGAGAGCTCTCTGTTGGGAGCTTTTAAATAAGATTCTTGCAGGCTAGTTCTAGGGTTTTGAAAATCTCAAAGCTTGTGGGATCAGTTTTTGGTGATACAGGGTGAATCTTATATAAAAGTCTATCTAAAAGCATGTTTCTCGTTTCATCTCTGGTAGAAGAAAGCTAGAGCCTTGGGCAAACCTGTCTGGATGGATGAAATGTCCAGAGCTGACCGGCAGAAAGACCGTCTATATCTTCAGAGATTGAAAGACCGCCACAATTTCCTGAAAAACCCTCGTTTTTTCCCACCTAATACGCTCCATGGAGGCAAGTCCTTGATTCTGCCTCAAAAGAAGGCGGAGCGGATGGTAGGAGGAAGAAGGAAGTTTGTGATGGAAAGGTAGCTCTTTATAAAATAAAATAATAATAATGATACATATACAAATGGTGCTCTCTGCCCCTACACAACTGGCCTTCTTAGTGTCAACGTTGCTGTGACAAAATATGAAGAGGCAGCCACTCTCTGTATAAGCTGTGTGGTATTTTTAGAGTTAAATTAGATCAGTGATGGCGAACCTTTTAGAGACCGAGTGCCCAAACTGCAATCCAAAACCCACTCATGCATCGTCAGGTGCCTGGTGGGCGTGTCCAATTGGGTGGGTGTGGCCCATTGGGTGGGCGTGGCTGCGGTGGTAACGGCAAACTGGGTGGGACTAAAAAGTTCAATCAATCAATTCCAACTTTGCAAGATCTTTTTTTTCCCGCAAGAAGTTGAAATTGACTGATTGATTTTTTTTTTCCAATATAAAATTTTTATTATTTTTCATCATAAAAAAAAACATCACAAATATTATACAATGCTATATGAAAGACCCCCCACCCCCCCACCCCGGACTTCCCAAACCTAATCCCAGGATAATATTCAGATATAAGTAAACAAATATTAGTATCTCTAACTCCACAGAGTATATTATTCTACATGAGTAGGTAAAATATATAAAAGAAAAAAAAAAAGAAAAAATTTTCTAAAAACCTAAATTATATTCCACCACTCTATGCTTCTTTTGAATATAAACAATCCATCTTCTCCATATTAATAAAAATTGTTCATTTGAGTAATTCTTCAAATAAGCCAAAATCTTTGCCATTTCAGCAAGATAAAAATTGACTGATTGATTTAACCCTTTTTTTTTTTTTGCACACGGCGGAGGAGGCCTAAAGCGAAAAGGTTTTATAAAACCCAGCTGAAGGCCTAGGACTGGGGCGATGGCGCGCGTGCCCACAGAGAGGGCTCTGAGTGCCGCCTCTGGCACCCGTGCCATAGGTTCGCCACCACTGGATTAGATGATGCTGGGAGGGGAGGAGAAAGAATGTGTGTGGGGATTAGTTAAGATAAGAAACCATGCTAGGAAGGGAAACTTTGCCCTTCAAACTGATTGGAGAACGTGATTTATGACTGCAAATTAGAGGAGGGAAATATGCTGGAACATTATGTGCTCAGGGGAGGGGAATTCAGATCTTGGCATCCACCATGCTGTGCCGACACTTTGTTTCACGATTAAAGACTTTTTAGGATAAACAATGCCTGGAAATTCTTTGAAGCGTTTCGTTAGTCGGAACCATGACACTTAGCTGCAACAGTGATATTTAACATTTATATGCTTCTCCCTCTCCCACACATTCCAAGCCACTCTGTACCTGAATGCGAAAATCTTTATGTTGCTCAGGGAATAGAGCCTGCCTGTTGCAGAAAAAGGAAAGAAGAAATTTGTCACAAAGTTGTTGTTTTTGATAGCAAGGTAGGGCACATCCTACCTTCAAGGAGCAGCTGATATAAACTCGTAGTCAAGCCCAACTATGGGAGCATTGCCAGTTGGCACATATTCTGCTTTTAGGAATGAATTGATTCAAGACGCTGAACATAAAGGGAGTCGCGTAGCCTTTCAGGGCTCAGATGTCAACGCTGCAAATACTGTTTATTCTTGCTTTGACAATATGCAAAACTGTCTGGTATTTTTAGAGTTAATGCAGAGCAGAAGAGGGTGGAGGGAAAAGCCCGGGAAAGAGAGAGGAAGGAAACCTTTGACCTTCACACTAATTGGATAACGTGATATATGAAAGCTAATTTAGGGAGGGAACATGCTGATAATTTAACTGCTCAGAGGAAGAGAAGTTAGATCTTAGCATACCTTCGTTATGCCTGTGCCGACATTTTGTAACAATAAATTACTTTTAGGAAAATCAGTGCCTGGAAGTTCTTTGAAGTGTTTCATAAGCCGGAACCATAACATCAGATTCGAAACATCAAAATCACAATATTCTTTAGCCAGAGTGCGACTGAAACATTGCAGTTGCCACCTCCTGTTTCTGGAGGGCCTCAAGTGGTTTATGTCTGCCCCAAAAGACAATCTTTTTTTCATTTGGGCTAAAGCTAAAAGGCCACATCCATCTTTGGAGCAACATGATGGCTCAGGGTCAGGAAGAAACTGGGTGGACTCAGGCTGAAATCTGTGCCTGAGATGCCGTGTTTTTCAACTTCCAACAACTCTACAATGTGTTGGCTAGGGAATCCTGGGAACAAAGGCCCACAAACCTTAAAAGTTGTCATAGTTGAGAAACACTGTGAGAGATTTCAATATAATGAAATTCACTTTACAGGTAATGCTCGGTTTACAACCAAAATTGAGCCCCACATTTCTGTTTGTAAGCAAGACACTTGTTCAGTAAATTTTGCCCCATTTTATGACCTTTCTTGCCACAGTTGTTGAATCACTGCAGCTGTTAAAGTTAGTAACATGGTTGTTAAGTGAATCTGGTTTCCCCATTGACCTTGCTGGCCAAAAGGTCACAAAAGGGGATCCCATGATCCCAGAAACCTGCAACCGTCATACATATGAGTCAGTTGCCAAGTGTCTGAATTTTGATCCTGTGACCACAGGGATCAAGTGTGAAAAACGGTCATAAGTCGTTTTTTTCAATGGCATTGTAACTTTGAACAGCCACTAAATTAACTTGTAAGTTGAGGATTACCTTTACTAAGTCAGCTTAACCATTTTCTCCTGTCACATTAAATATCTACAGACATTTTCTAAAGAAGGTGGGGGGGGGGGAAGGCAAGCTCTGAGGACAATGGAATGAAGTAGCCCCCATTGAGCCCAACCAGTGCCGGCTAACATGCAGCGGTCCTGAGAATACTCTTCCAGGGGTAGGCAACCTTGGCTCTTTTATGACTGGTGGACTTCAACTCCCAGAATTCCTGAGCCAGCCATGCTGAGGGGAAAGGGAGAGTTTCCAAGCTGAGCCATGCTGGCTCAGGAATTCTGGGAGTTGAAGTCCATGAGTCATAAAAGAGCCAAGGTTGCCTACCCCTGCCTTGACCATCTTTGTAACTATCTTTTTTTCCCTTCATTTCAGCCATTCCCAGTCAGTACCCATCTTCCTCTCAAACCCTCCCGCAGTGGTGTTTACAGAATATGAAATTGGCCAGGTTTATGAGGTAAGAGCCACTCAGGAGAATTTCTCATATCTGCATGGCCTGTTAATTCGCTTTTCTTCAGCTGGACTGAAACATCATTCTTCCACTTCTTCATGTACTTTTAATTGAATACAGAGAGTCCTCGGCTTATGACTGGTCACTTAGCAATCAATTCAAGTTAGGATGGACTCCCTAAAGGCAGTTAAGATTGCAAAGTTCAGACAGCCACCCCTCCCTGGTCACGTGGCTGCTTTTATGGCCATTTACTGCATCTTGCTGAAACGGGCATTTATTTCTGGTTTGTGGCAAAAAATCCCGCTCATAACGAGCAACGGGTTTGGCTAATGACTGTGGCTCTCGCTTAAAGACTGTCACAAGAAAAGTTGTAAAATCGGTGACCGCTTTATGGCTGTGACAACTTACAATTGCAGTTGTCAGGCTCAATTACGGCTGTAAGTCAAGGACTACCTATAAATCAAACCTATGAACTCTTCTTTCCTTCAAGGATAGATGGAGTGCAATATCACAGTCAAATCTTTTCAGAAATCAGTGGGCCCTACTAAATGTTTTGTAAATTTGAGGGCAGTGAAAAATGTGGGTAGTAATAACAGGGCCAAAAACGTTCTGACTATTCTGTGGGATTTTTAATTGGCTGTGCTTGCAGACACTTGACATACAGTATTCATTCCCACTTATTTTTGCCTCCCCTTCACCCCCCAATTCTTAAAAACCAACCATTTTTTTGGTGCTGAATATTGGCATTATACTTTGGGGGGGTACTCTTTGGATCATAAAATGGCTGGGGGGGGGAAAGATGCACTAGCTCTGTCCTTCCTTTCTTTGCAGATGACAATAGAGTTACAGAACATGACCTCAACATCCCAGAGCGTCAGAATTATTCCTCCAGCTACATCTGCCTTCTCGGTTGTGATGGGTGAGTTCTTGCCAGATGCTGTGATCTCAGTTTCAAATCAGTTGGTTTCCGGCGAAAACTGGCTTCCTTGGATGGCATCCAAAGGATGGAAACGGCCTCAAAAGGATGCTACAGCAGGTGGCAGCACCTGACTGTTCTTGGAAAAAGCTAAGCAGAGTCAGATCTGATTAATGTATTTTATTTATTTATTTGCAAATTTGTATGTATTTATTATTGTTGCAAATAACTCAAAGCAGCAAACATATCCAACACATTTTCTTCCTCTTTCTTTCCCCACAACAATAACCCTGTGAGGTGGGTTGGGCTGAGAGAGAGGGAGAGGAGAGGGAGGGGGATGGGGAGAGAGAGAGACTGGTCTAAAGTAGGCTTTCATGCCTAAGGCCGCACTAGAACTCACGGTCTCCTGCTTTCTAGCCTGGTGCCTTAACCAACTAGGCTAGGAGTAGGCAGCCTTGGCTCTTTTATGACTTGTGCACTTCAACTCCCAGAATTCCTGAGCCAGCCACGCTGAGGGGAAATGGAGAGGTTTCCAAGCTGAGCCATGCTGGCTCAGGAATTCTGGGAGTTGAAGTCCACGAGTCATAAAAGAGCCAAGGTGGCCTACCCTTGAACTACTAGACCAAACTGGTAACATGGATGGGAAAACACTTAAGGAATCTCAAGATGGCAGAATAGAGTACAGATAGTCCTTGAGTTACAGCTATAATGCAGCTCACACTTTATGAACATAAGTTCTGACAGTCATAAGTTGGTTGGTCATGTGATTGACTTGATTTTGTGGCCTTTTCGTAGTCATCATGTGAATACCACATTTAGGCAAACCAGTGGTTCACTATGGGTGCAGTTTTGCCAAAACCAGAACTGTTGATTTTTGGTAAAAAATGTCATAAAATGCACTCACATGACTGCAGGATGCTACAAACGAACATCAATGTTGATGAATTCCAACTGTGTGACTGTCAGAACTTTGGAACTGGGTCATAATTCCCCTTTTTTCAGGTACATTGTAACTTTGAATGGTTTTAAGTTGGCTATCTATACTCAGTTAAAAAAACAACAGAAGAATCCAGTGCCATGTTTACAGCTGCTGGGAAAACAATATAGATACGCTTGTGATGTCCTCCCAAGTCAAACTCAACTTAAGGAAAGGTTTATTTAAGGGACAGGGGAATTTTTTGTTCCTATAAACATTTGTTTGTCATTAAGATAAACCTCAGCGTGAGTTTGAGAGTCAATTCGTATTTTTTCCAAAGAGATATTTCCCTCTCTTTTTCCTGGGTGCATTTTACTCCCCTTTGTTATCCTGCAGAAGTTGGAAAATGGGCCAAAAATTGAAATATGGAACACCAGAGGCCCTGCAGAGATTGTTTATAGGTTGTTCTCGACTTGCAACCATTTGAACGGCACTGAAAAAAGTGACTTATGACCGTTTTTCACACTTATGGCCATTGCAGCATCCCTGTGGTCACGTGATTTACATTTGGATGCTTGACAACTGGTTCATATTTATGATGGTTGCAGTGTGCCGGGGTCACGTGATCATCTTTCATGACCTTCTAAGAAGCAAAGTCAGTGGGGGAAGTCAGATTCACTTAACAACCATGTTACTAATTTAACAACTGTAGTGATTCACTTAACAAACATGGCAAGAAAAGTCATAAAATGGCCAAAACTCACTTAACAGATTTCTCACTTAGCAACATAAATTTCTGGGCTCAATTGTGGTCGTTCAGCAAGGACTACCTGTATTATTCTAGGGTTTATTAAGAGAATCTTGAAAGATTGTACAAATTTCTCTCTGTCCCATCTCGTTTTAAACAAGATTAAGGCAGGATTATTGTGAATTTCCTTCTCATCTTTTCTTCTATCTTGGGGCTGTGTAATCACTTCTCCACATTGCTCCTTAACGGCTCACTCATGCTTCCCCCAAAGCCAGTTCTAAAATACTTTACACCATGGAAGAGAGCTGTTGTGCCTTACACATCTACCTAGTTCACACACGTTCCTAAACCATTTTTAAGAATGGCTTATGAAATAAACCATAATTGGCTGGTTTCAGTCACTTGGCTGAATCAAAATCAAATCAGATCAGATTATTTTATCATAATATGAAGGCAAAATCTTCAGGGCACTGTATTAATTGTGACAGACCATGTCGGCCTTCATAAAAGCCGTAAAGATCTGGCTTTTTCAGCCACTCCTGAGTGTGGGGTTAGGGTTGAGTGATTCATAACTTTCTTTCATATGATTTTATGAAACAGGGTTACAAATCATGATTTTGCAAACCCCCTTTTTACGATTATGTTCTCCAACGTGGTCTGACTTTTATTGTGTTTGTGTTTTTAGCCTGTCTTACGAATACTTACACAATTAGATACATATACAGGCAGCCCTCAACTTACAACCAAAACTGAGACCAGAATTCTTGTTGCTAAGCAAAGCAGTTGTTAAGTGAGTTTTGTCCCATTTTATTAAACTTTTTTTGTCACAGTTGCTAATTGAATAATGCGGTTATTAAGTGAGTCTGGCTTCCCTCATTGACTTTGCTCATTGGAACCAGCTGGGAAGTTTACAAATCATAATTACATGACCCCAGGAGAATGTAACTGTCATAAATAGATGCCAGTTGCCAAATGTTGGAATTTTGATCATGTGACCACAGGGATGCTGCAAACGGTCATCAGCGTGAAAATTGTAAGTCACTTTTTTCAGTGCCGCTGTAACATCAGACAGTTGTTAAATGAATGGTTGTAAGCCGAGGACTATCCGTATAGTATTTAAAGAGTTCCCACCATTGTGGTGTCATGTAACCAGCACAAGCAACATATAGAATCAGAAGTTTTCTAATAAAAGTCCTTTCTTTTCAGGGAAATTTCCAGGTGAAGGTGGGCTTGTCGCTCCCGGGATGAGCTGTTTCTACATCATCCAGTTCATTCCTGAATATCTTGCAGATTATGATGATTATTTACTGGTGGAATCTCAGGCAGCCTATCCGCTCCTGGTCCCTTTGCAAGGCAGAAGACCACCCCCCATTTTAACACGTGAGCTGACTGTGTGACAATCCCCCGTGGGGGAGTTTCTCTCCTGGTGTTTTGCCTTCCAACTTATTAGCAAAATGCTTCCCCACCCTAATAATGAGCCCAACGTTTCCATCGCTGAACAAGACAAGTTGTTCAGTGAGCTTTACACCGTTCTGTGGCCTTTCTTCCCACAGTTGTTAAATGAACTCTGCAGTTGCTAAGTCAGTGACGTGGTACTTAAGTGCCTTCCCCATTGACTTTGCTTCTCAGAAGGCCGTAAAACGGAATCACATGACCCTGGGACATGCTCCTGGGACACCGCCACCGTCGTAAGTAGGAGTCACTGGCCAAGCGTCTGAATTTTGATCTTGTGACCGTGGGGGTGCTGCAAGGTCGTTAAGTGTGGAAAATAGTCATAAGTCAGGTTTTTTCAGCGCCGTCGTAACTTTGAACGGTCACCAAACGAATGGCTGTAAGTCAAGGACTACCTGTAATGATGTCATCCAAGCTTTCAATGTATGAGATTTGGCAAAGGTCCAGCATTGGTGACCAGCCATTTTTAAATATCTGTGCCTGTTTCACCTTTAAATATGGCAGCTTCAGCCTAGTCCAGGGTAGGCAACCTTGGCTCTGTTATGACTCGTGGACTTCAACTCCCAGAATTCCTGGGCCAGCCATGCTGAGGGGGAAAGGGAGAGGTTTCCAAGCTGAGCCATGCTGGCTCAGGAATTCTGGGAGTTGAAATCCACGAGTCATAAAAGAGCCAAGGTTGCCTACCCCTGGCCTAGTCTCATAGCTAGAGACTTGAGAATAGCAATAAAGGAGAATATTTGTAGCTCAGGGTTGAAATAGGGGTGTGTGTGTCCTCGGTGTTCTCTGAGGTTGGTGGTTTTCTTGCAGACGTTTCTTTACCCCAACTAGGTAACATCCAGTTTGGGGAATGAAACTTCTGCAAGCAAGCAAGCAAGCTCAGAGAGCGCCAAGGACTCCTCGCTTGAGACTAGAAACCAGCAGAGCCCAAGTCATTTCCTCCTTGCCCTTCCTAGTCTCCTGTGTCCTCTGGAAGCTGTTCTTCCAGATTTATTCAGCATTTTCGAGTTTAAATAATCCAAGTGTGATTCCCACCCCTGTTTGCATTGGCTCCTTTTCATCTGCCTTTCTTTCAGTGCCACACGTCCTGGAATGTGGGGCCTGCCTGGTGGGCGGAGTAAAATTTGTAAAGTTTGAGTGCAAAAATGAAGGGCTCAGTATCGGAAAGTTTTGCATCATGGCGAAGGACATGTGGCCACCTCCTAACTTTCGGGTAAGTGTTACAGAACTGGGTGCACTTTCCTTTCCACACCAGCCCTGTTGAACCGGAATCAAAAGGAGACGGTTTCTGGCAACCAGGGGCCACATATGTTGGCATTCTGGGTTCCTGAGGGACCGGAAAGAATGTGGCTGTGGATATTACAGTCCTCGACTTTAGGAAATCTCTTTCTGAAGACCCACACCTTCTTCCGCTTTGCCCACTGTGGTAGCCAGGTGTTCATCCCTTGGTCGGTGGATTCCCTGGATTCGTTAGCTTCCTGTTCCAGTAAAAGAAAAAAGAGAAAAAAAGAAAGGAAACACCATCTGGCAGTTCTACATCCTGGAGATGGGGAAAGTGCAGAACTTTTGCCAATTTCCCTTAGTTAAAAAAAAAAAGTGCACGAGGCAGGATGGGTCCATCTTTCCTCTGCTTCTCTGTGAAACTTATGTGCAGAGAAGAACAATAAAGATGATGGTGCCTGTGGCTAAATTGTAGGATGAACAATTGAGGGAGCTAGGTTTGCCTAGACCAGTGGTGGCGAACCTATGGCACGCGTGCCAGAGGCGGCACTCAGAGCCCTCTCTGTGGGCACGTGCACCACCGTCGCCAACAGCAGGTCCATCAGGCCGCCACTGCCACCCAGAGCAGGAGCCCCGCCCAGCACAAAGGAGGCGAAGCGGTCGACTGGCAAGCTTGAGTAGAGGTGGTAGAGCAGAGGTCACCAACCATTGTCGATTGGTGGACTGGAAGAAAAGGGAGGAGGAAGCATTTTACATGCGCGCATGTGCGCGCGGGACTAGTGCCTGCGTGATACTCACTAGCCCTGCCCTGTTTTTGTGTGGTGCAGCGCCTTGTATCTGTACCCCGCGGTGTGGTGGCGGCCATCTTGCACCCCTGGTTTTTGCATGCCGGAGGCAGCACTCAGAGGCGCCTCCCTGCCCCCCCAAGGGCATTACAATGCTGATGCGGCCCTGGCACTTTGCGATAAACAAGTGGGTTTTGGGTTGCGGTTTGGGCACTCGGTCTCTAAAAGGTTCTCCATCACTGGCCTAGCCTATCAAAGAGAAAGACTGGGGGAGATGGGGACACGATAGCAGTGTCGCAATATTTGAGGGGCTGTTACAGAGAAGAGGGGGCCAAGCTATTCTCCAAAGCACCAGAGGGCAGGACAAGAAGCATTGGGTGGAAGCTTGTTAAAGAGAGAAGCAGCCTACCAGTAAGGAGAAATTTTCTGACACTGAGAACAATTCATCAGTGCAAAAGCTAGACTCCCAAAGTTGTGGCTGCTCCATCACTGGTTTTTAAGAAGAGATTGGACAGCCACTTGACAGGGATATTGTAAGGTCTCCTGCCTTGAGCACGGGGGGAGTTGGACTAGAAGACCTCCAAGGTCTCTTCCAGTCCTATGAAGTTCTGTGTTCTTATTTAAAAAAATGAGGGCTGTGAAAATCAGGAAATAGTGACCAAAAGGGAGGAGATATTGTGTATCAATGCATAGGAGCAAATTCGGAAGTATAGGCTAGCCCTGTGGTGGCGAACCTATGGCTTGGGTGCCTGAGGTGGCACGCAATGCCCTCTCTGTGGGCACGCGGGCCATCGCCCCCAGTCCTAGGCCTTCAGCTGGGTTTTATAAAACCTTTTCACTTTAGGCCTCAGCTGCCGTGTGCAAAAAAAAAAAAAGTTCAATCAGTCAATTTCAACTTTTCGCGGGAAAAAAAAAGATCTCTCAAAGTTGGAATTGATTGATTGAACTTTTTAGTCCCACCCAGTCTGCCGTTACTACCGCAGCCACGCCTACCC